CAAAATTAATTAATAATAGATAGTTCAATTTAGTGAACCTAAAACTTTAAATCAAATAATAATAATTTTAATATTTATTTATAATTAAAGGCCTTGGATCGACTTTAACGAACAAAAAAAGTCGCTTTAGTCGATTAAAAAAGAAAAAAAAATCAAAAAAGTTTTTTATTTAATTTAATGTTGTCACAAAAATTTTATTTTGTATTTTCCTGATTCTTCACTGATTTCTAAATTTAATTAATCAAAACTTGAATAATTTTGCTAAATAAATATTTAAATACTTCTTATTTCTTTTTTCACAGGAAATAAAATTTAAAAAATTTCAACTTCTGAAATATATTTTCTAAAAATTAAAACTATAACCTTTTTAAAAATATTTAGATATAAATAATTTTTTGAAAGACAATAGTTTTACAATTACATAAAATTGAAAAATGCCCAAAAAATTGAAATTTGATAAAATCTTTTAAAAAATAATTGAAATTTAGTAAATTCTCTGAAAAATAATTGAAATTTAATGCAATCTTTTAAAAATAATTGAGTTTTTAAAAAATATAAAAAAATCAAATTTTTGAAGAATTTTAATTACAAATAATTTCTCAAAAATTCTAAAATAGTAAATTTTAAAAAAATTCTACTTTACTGTAATTTTGTTCAAAAAAAAAAAAATTAAATTAAAAAATTCCCTTTATGCAATTTGAATTCGTAAGATATGATTTCTCCTAAAACATACTAGCTCGGTTCGAAGCATCATTATTACTTGGAACGGTGTAACTTTGACAGTATAACATTCTAGCCAATTACATCTTGTTACTTTGACGAATTGATTTGCAGTCGAACGGCCACTTTGTAATTTTCGAGTCCCTTTCGAACGTGCCAAGGCAGAAGCTTATTTAGTCAATTTCAACAGAACAATGCCGGTTAAAAATTTATGTGTTCAAAATTGCGTATGTTTGCATCTAGAAGCATTGGAATATGTATATATATATACAATTCACACACACACAAATAAGTTTAAGTGAATCAGTAAAAGAAGCAATGTTGGGTCGAGCTTGAAGATTACCTTGTGAAAAGAAAGGGTTAAAACACGAGAATAAGCGAGGGTTGTAAGGGAACAGAAAAATTAATGTTTTGTAAACTGATGCTAAAAATTCTTTAAACTACTTTATATTATATAGGAGGGGTGAAAAAAAAAAAGTTTCGAAAATAACAAAAAGCAGTTATTGAGAAATTAAAGATTATTTAAAGTAAGTATAGTTTATTGTTACTGTTATTATTAATATTATTAATATTATTAATAGTATTATTATTATTTATTGATATTAATAATTTATTTTATGTATTTACTTCTATTTGGTATTAAATATATTAATTCCGGTAATATATTGCTTATTACTATCCATTTATATACGATTCTTATTCACAACAATTCGATTAGGGGAAAAATTATTTGGAGTCTGCGTTAGCCGCGGTCGTTAAGGCGTGTAGCATTGGGAATTTAGACCTTGCGTTCGAATCCCCCCGAAAATTTGAAAATTTTTTTTAACTTATTGTGAATTTAATTTCTATCCTAAAACCGATTCTAGAGAAGAAAAACATCTACTTCAAGATTTATTTTCTATAAATTGAATTAAAAATGTTCTAAAATTTTTATTTTTTAATTTTTCTAAATTTCTAATTTTCTGTTCCAGGTGGCTGCTTGAATATTTTCCCCGTTAAACGGGGGCTTTGGAAAACCAAATCGTAATTACATTTTCAAAAATTATTCATATTTAGAAATATGAGAAATCTACTTAAAGATTTATTTTTTAATTTAAATTAAAAATTTTGTAAATGTTTGTTTTTTAATTTTTCAAAATTTCTACTTTTCTGTTCCAGGTGGCTGCTTGAATATTTTCCCCGTTAAACGGGGGTTTTGGAAAACCAAATCGTAATTTTTTAATTTAAATTAAAAATTTTTAAAAATCTTTATTTTTTAATCTTTCTAAATTTCTTTTATTTTTGCATTTTCTTTTCTTAAAAATAAAAGACCCGAGGGATAAAATTTTAACTCTTGTCCAGTGAAATGAAAGAAATCAAAGTTACTTTTTAATATTTTAAGTGAATTACACGCATTATGTAGAAAATAAGGGTTGCTGAAAAATAGAGCAGAGACGAGATTAACCTAATCGGATGAAGGAGGCCGTCAAGGGTATTTATATTGTAAAATCAATAATCCCAATTACTTTCCATTCCGATTAATTGTAAATCAAAACAATTAATTGTTTGTATCAGTTGATGGTAAATAATGATGTCTAGTATAACAAACAAAAAAAAGAAATATACAAATGAAATAACCAAAAAAAAAAAAAATGATCTGCTAGCGGAAGAGTTCACGAATCGAAGATGAAATTGCATTTTCTCGGTAGGTTGACTCTCCGGTATATATTCACGAACATGTGCATGACATACTAATCCAATTTCCACGCGTAGTGTACCGGGCACACGAGAGCTTATCGATTTTGCAAGTTGTACCGAACCTCGCCCGACATATTATTAACTTTTCTTTCAAAAAAAAAAAATTTTTTTTCCTTTGACTTCACTGATCATTTGCCAATATATTGCTATCGTACAATAATTAATTTCCACTCGGCATCATTTCACTTTGAATGCCTTTCTCTTCCTATATCTTATCATGTTGTCAGAAATTTTATTTCTCGTAATTATTAAATCTTAATTGCAATGTCAAATGTGCGTGTTTAGTATAGTGATCACAATTTGTTATAATTGCAAACAAACAAAAAATTATTTATTTCGGTTTGTTTTTGTATTTTTTTTTTATTAATTGTTATTAATTAATAAATTTTTATTAATTTATAATTATTTAATAAATTAATTTTTTATTGATTAATAATTATTAATCATAAAAACATTTTAACTTTAAAAATTTTAATTTCGCAAAATTGAAAATTAAATAGAAATTTATAAAAAAAAATTCTGTTTCAGGTGGCTGCTTGAATTTCCCCCGTTAAACGGGGGTTTTGGAAAACCAAATCGTAATTTATCAAAAATTATTCATATTTTTGAAAAACAATTGAAAAAATGTGTTTTCTTTTATTTTTAATTAAAATTAAAAACAAGAAAATTTTTTTGAAAATGGAAGAAAAAAAATTTTTTTTACTTAAAAATAAAAATTGCAAATAATATTAAAGATTAATAATAATTAATATATTAATAATAATAATAATAATAATAATAATAATAATAATAATAATAATAATAATAATAATAATAATAATAATAATAATAATAATAATAATAATAATAATAATAATAATAATAATAATAATAATAATTAGTAAATATTAAAAATTAATATAAAAATTGCAAATTTGTCTATTAATTATTTATAAAATACTACTATAAGTTAAAAAAAAATTTTTTCATTTCCATTTGAGGTAAATTTTCTTTTTCTAAAAGAAAAGTCCATTTTCTCATAATTTAAATACAAAATTCGTTATTGCCGATTCTATATTACCAATTTCTCCATTAAGCAAAGAAAAAAAAATTCTTTTCACTCAACGATACGTAAGTGGTTCAGGATATTACTCACAAGATCATTAGTTAGAATCAATCGACTTTTATTTTCTCTATTGGTTAAAAAGTGAAAAGAATACTTTAGGGATTAACGAGGCGAAAAGTAAATGAATTTTACAAACTTTATTTATGCATATAATTATACAAGAAAAAAATCAAGAATGAAATGGAAAATATTTACGCAGAAAAATTCGTAATAAAAATTCCCCCGAAAAATTTTTCTGCTTAAAAAAGAAAATTTTTGAATTTTTCTTTACTTTTTTCTCCCTCAAGTTTTTTAAAGTGATTTTTTTCACTTTCCTTTTTTCTTATTTACTGTTCTCATTATATTCTCTTTTCTGAGCTTTTCTTTCACTATCCAATTATATTATAATTTATGCTTTTCTTTATGAATCGAAGTCCTTCATTTTTATGCTTCGCTTAATAAATTTCCTTTGTAGTGACAAAAATTTTTTTCTCCTTCTTAAATTCTTCATAATTGGAAATTTTACCTCTGGAATATATTAAATTTATTTTTTCCTCAATTGTATTGAAAAACATTTTTTTTTCTCTTTATTAAAATAATTTTCTCTTTGGAAAAAATTTTAAATATTGAATTTCTATGTGGAATTTTTTTTCTTAAAGCGAATGGGGAAAAAGAATAAAAAAGAACGAATTTATGAGAAGAGAAGAAGAAGAAAAAAGAAAGGAAGGAAAAAATAGTAAAAAAAGAGATGACAAATTGTAAAAAAAAAGAAGAAAAGAGAAACGAAAAGAAAAAATGAAACAAAAGGATAGAAATAATTTTTTAAAAAGAGAATAAAAAGGAAATAATTTTTTTTTTAATTTTTCGTTTCTCTAAAGAAAAATTTTCTCTTCTAATGAAATCAAGTTAAATTAAGACTAACTACGAAATCGGATGCAATGCGGGCATTTTCATTATACTCATTTTCGAAATGTTCGTCTTCCGCTTTATCGCGGGAAAAAAAAATTTACGAAACGCCTGCATCTAAACGAAATTGAAATGTAACAACAAAGCAAAGATAATGTAACAAATTTTTCATTTTGAGGAAATTGAATATACAAAGTTCTTTATTTTTTGCAATTATAATGAAAGTTTCGAAAAATTGTCATTTTTATAGTCAAATGATAATTATTTTCCGCTCCTTTTAGCATTTAAACAATTTCCTATTTTTCGTTCCTGCACTTTCTTTTTATATTAAAATTACAATAAAAATTGTATTTAAAAAAACTAAATTAAGAAAAAAAGTCTTTGAAATCTTTGAAAAAATGCAAAAAATAGAAATAAATATTTAAAAGCAAAAAAAATTTAACTTAAAAAAGTGCACTATAATAAAATATAAAAATAATTACAAGAAAATGAAAACAAATATCAATATAAATAGAATTATTATTAATTTAATGAAATAAAAAATCAAACTTACGATATAATTAATCGGTCAGTTTAATCGGTAATGTAAATCTCACACTTAATTCCCAAAGATTAATATTTCATAATTCGAAAATTTTTTTTTTTCTATCACTGATAAACAATAATAATCATTACACTTGCGCGATACACGTAATCAACAAGTTTCACAAATTCAATCTAAAAGATTAAAAAAAAAAAAAATTTGACACGATAGATTTTTTTTTTTAAAGTGGAAGTTTAGAAAATTTTAATAAATCACTTCTTAAAATTTTCGCGGTTAAATTATAAAAATTTTTCAAATACAAGCGTGAGATACACGCGCCGAGAGGATCTCTTCCATTCGAAGGATGGAGTTTAACTGAATGGGAGAATGAGTTTTGGTTTCGTCGCGAAGCACATCGCCAGATCGGAGACCAGTTTTCAATACACATAGCTGCGCGCACTTTGCTTTTTAAAAACTTCCAAATACCTTCATCATATATAGTCACATTCTTATAGTTTAATTACTATTTACTATTTTTTTAACAGCATTTTAAATTATTCTCAAAAAACAAAAAATTTCACTTTACAAAAAAAAAATCATTATGTGCCTCTAATTAATAACAATGACGCACACTTAACATATTTTATTATTCATCATTTCTAAGGAAAAAATATAATTTTTACTGGAAAATTTAAGAAATTTTCTTGTATTTTAATTTTTTTAAACAATTAGAATGTAATTTTTCAATTTCTTGTTAAATATAATTAACTTCTTTATAAAATAAAATAATAATAATAATAATAATAATAAAATGAATTATTAAATAATTTAATATGTAAATTTAATATAAATATTTGCATTTCAATAAAGGTAATATTTTAATAATAATAATAATAATAATAATAATAATAATAATAATAATAATAATAATAATAATAATAATAACAATATCCGTTTTGGATATTTACCACCACTTTTTCTCAAAATCCTGACGTGCTAGGGAATTTTTGAACCTTGGATCGTATTCAGCTGACAAAAATATATTGAAATCCACTCCCATATCAAAAATAAAAAAAAAATTTTTTGAGTTTTTAGCCTCCCCTCCTGATTTTTTTAAAAATTGCTTTATTCGTCATGCGCATAGGGTCTTAAAGTGAATGTTTTAAATTTTTATTTTTACCCCTTTGGAAGTAGTCAAAATAAAGAGAAAAAATATATTGAAAATATCCAAAAAGATGTTTTTTGGGGGTATTTAACCCCACTTTTCTCAAAATCACGTCGTGCTAGGCAAATTTGAGAGCTGGGATCGTATTCAGCGAGTAAAAATACATCGAAAAGCACTCTTATATCAAAAGTAATAAAAAAAGAATATTTTTCGGTTTTCACCCCTCTCTCCCACTTTTCTCAAAATTATTTTTTGGATCTAAAGCATATGGGCCTTAAAGAGTATTTTTTTAAAATTATATTTTAGGACCTTATGGTGATCATAGGATCAAATAGAAAAAATATATTGTAAATACTCAAAAAGATGTTTTTTGGGGGTATTTACCCCCACTTTTTTCAAAATCACGATGTGCTAGGCAAATTTGAGACCTGGGATCGTATTTAGCGAGCAAAAATACATTGAAAACCACTCCATTATCAAAAATATAATATAAAATTTTTTTTTTTTGATTCCCCCCCCCCCCACTTTTCTCAAAATTATTTTTTGGATCTGGAGCATATGGGCCTTAAAGTGTATTTTTTAAATTTTATTTTATGATCTTATGGTGATCATAAGATTAAATAGAAATAATATTTTGAAAATATTCAAAAAGATTGTTTTTTGGGGGTATTTACCCCCACTTTTTTTAAAATCACGACGTGCTAGGCAAATTTGAGACCTCGGATCGTATTCAGCGAGCAAAAATACATTGAAAACCATTCCATTATCAAAAATATAATATAAAATTTTTTTTTTTTTTTGGTTTCCCCCCCCCCCCTCCCACTTTTTTCAAAATAGACAATTTTTTAATCTCACGCATTATGTGTCTTAAAGTGCACTTTTCAAATTTTAATTTAAGACTTTATAAAAATCTTTATAGGTTGCTGAGAAAAAATTTATTAAAAATTCCTAAAACCACATTTTTGGAAGAGGCTTGGGCTTTACCCCCACTTTTTTCAAAATACTGACAGTACCTCATTAATTTTCGACCATTTTTCAAATTTTAGTTTTTTTGACTTGTGAATTTTTGACAATTGTACTAAACTTCTTATATACTGTAAATTTTAACCAATTTTTTTTTCGTTTCTCTTTGCAGAAAGTGATTTTTTGACCTATTTGAATATTTCGCTATATTTGACCTGTATACAAGTGATAACTAGAAACTTTCACTAATTTAAAATATTAAATGAAAGTAGAAAATAATTTTCGATTAAATTCAATATTAACATGATTTCGTATTGTTTTAAAATTGTATATTAAATTTTCTATTGTCATATAGGTGTAAAAGACAATGTTTCAAGTAAACTGCTCGCGATGAAATGAAAGATAATTGAAAGTAATTCATTAAAATAAAATAATTTTAAGTGAGGGAAAATTTTTTTTTACATATTTTTATATATATATGCGTGTGATATATTTAAAAATAAAAAAAAATTTATCATTAGATCAAATTTCAAATTAAAATCATAAGAGTAACGTGGGTAAGCAGCTTGATAAAGAATAGAAACGAAACCAGACACCGTGGCAACGATAAATATCCTACAATTATGTCGGTTGGGTTTTGTATGTATACGCATACTAGCGTTATACTTTGCCGGATGTCTTGTAACAATAAGACCTTTTAATTAATTATTACGAGTGATTAAAAGCATTTTTCTATTTATTACAGTGAATATGCATGTATAACTGTATATTTTTGTTATCATAAAGAACAAATTTCTATTTTTGCCTATATTATAATTTCTGAAAAGGAAAAGTCAATTTTGATTGTATGCGGAATTTTCATAATGAACAATGTGTCTATATAATTTTAACTTTCGATTATTTATTATTTCTCGTTATTTGTTATTGTTTTGGTATTTATTAAACATTATTGTTTCGCTCTAAATATTCTGAACGTTTCAAAAGTGTCATGGCAGTACATACACGATATTTTTTTATACTTTTGTTAAAATGTCAAAAAAAATTAATTTTATTATATTATTTAATTCACACTATTGTTAACTTAAAAGTTTTAAATTTCAACGAATTGATACCAAAAATGAGAATCAAATAAAAAATTCATCCAAATTTTTGTTATCAATTTCTTGTTATTTTTAATCCATATAATTCATAATTTTTTCTTTAATAAAAAATAGTTTGAATTTCAAATCTTTGAAAAATACCTCAAAAACCGTATGTACATACGGTATTTTTTATTATTTCATATTATTTTATAAAATTTATCTATTTTATTAATCTTTTTTTCAGTTAAAAAAAGTAGTTTAAATTTTAAATGTTCTGGTGTTTAGAAATACCTCAAAAACCTTATGTACATACGGTATTTTATATTATTTTACATTATTTTATAAAATTTATAAAATACAAAATTTATTTCCTTTTATGTATCATTTTTTCTTTTTAAAAAATAGTTTAAATTTAAAATCTTCTTTAAAATTATTTCAAAAACCGTATGTACATACGATATTTTTATATTATTTTATAAAATCCATAAAATATAAAATTTATTCACTTTATTTATCATTTTTTCTTTTAAAAAAGTAGTTTAAATTTTACATCTTCTGGTGCTTAGAAATACCTCAAAAACCGTATGTACAGACGGGATTTTTTATTATTTTATAAAATTCATAAAATATAAAATTTATCCATTTTATTTATCATTTTTTCTTTTAAAAAAGTAGTTTAAATTTTAAATCTATTGGTGCTTTCAAAGTACCTCGAAAACCGTATGTACATACGGTATTTCTTTATTATTTTAAATTATTTTATAAAATTCATAAAATATAAAGTTTTTCAATATTTTATTTATCATTTTTCCTTTTAAAAAAGCCATTTAAATTTTAAATCTCCTTGAAAAATACGAAAAATACCTCAAAAACCTTATATAAATAAGGTATTTTTTATTATTTTATAAAATCCATGAAATATAAAATTTATCTATTTTATTAATCTTTTTTTCTGTTAAAAAGAGTAGTTTAAATTTTAAATCTTCTAGTGCTTAGAAATACCTCAAAAATCGTATGTACATACGGTATTTTCTATTATTTTCTATTATTTTATAAAATATAAAATTTGTCCATTTTATTTATCATTTATTCTTTGAAAAAAAGTAGTTTAAATTTTTAAATCTTCTAGTGCATAGAAGTACCTCAAAAACCATATGTACATACGGTATTTTGTATTATTTTATAAAATATAAAATTTATCCATTTTATTTACCATGTTTTCTTTTTAAAAAAATTATTTAAAATTTGTAATCTTCTGGTGCTTTCAAAATACCTCAAAAACCGTATGTACTTAAAGTATTTTTTATTTTAAATTATAGGGACAACTTTATTACTGATTCCCAGTGATAAGAAGCGTATCCAACGTATTTGTATTTTACTTTTTTTCTCATTGTTTTCCCAAAAGGTCAATTTTCTATTTCTGAAAATATGTTTTTTTTTGAAAATACACATTCAGATTGGAATAATCTTGTTAAACTCAATTTTCTACTTTTTTTTGCATAGATTTTTAATTTTAAATATAAAAATAATTGGTTTACAATAATGAAATTTTGAAAAATTATTTTTCACAAATATTTTAATATTATAAGTCAACTGTCTATGAAAAATTAAACATATACACTATATAATTAATAATTATAAATTGTATAGTAACATATAAATTAAGTAGTATTAAAATTATCATTATATAAATATGTAAAATTATGAATTATGATTTACGAATCAATCATTTTTTACACATGTCATTTTAGCTGTTCTGTTTTTTCTCCACGTGGACATTTTTTTTTCTTTATTTTGAATCTTTGTTTTTTTAAATACGTCATGCAACTTGAATAAGAAAGTACGTGAGAAAATTTTTGAGAGATAATTTATCAAAAAAAAAAAAAAAAAAAAAAACAACTATCGATTTAAAAATGTAGTGACTGTGAATATAATTGGTAGAATAATTGATAAAATTCCTAAATTAGCCAAAGATGCAGAATTACATCCGTCCTCACTGCAAGTTTTGCATTCCGATTTTCCTTCACATTTGAAATCTGCTTTCTTTGCACAACCCCTTGATGTTTTAGTTTCGCTATTTTCTGAAAATAAAAAGGAAATTACAATTTTTTTTTAAATTAGAAATAAAAGTTAATTAAAAAAAATACCTTCTCAAGTGATTCTTATTTTTAATTATTATTCTTTCTCTCAAGAATATAATTTTATTTCTCAACACTCAAGTATGTTAGATAATAATTTTTATATATATTGTTTCGAGAAGGAAAAAAATCGATTGATAAAAAAAATTATCCACTTTTTATTTAATGGAAAATTTTGTATTTTTCTACTAAAAAAAAAGTCGCATACTATCGTAAAATTTATTTTTACAACATGAAAGAGATAAAAATACATGACTATATTCTGATGATGATGATGACAGATATAATTATGAATTTCTTATCATTTTTCTTTTTAAAATATTATTATCTATTGACCATATTATGTAAAATAAAAAAAGACATTTTTTTTGTTTCCAAAAAAAAAATGTTTTGATATTTTTAAAAATTTTATTTACCAGTATGATCATATTTGTAGCAAACATATTCACTGTCACCTCGTGCCTTCAGTTCAGATTGTCGTCTTACTCGGTACACTGCTATTCTTGGAGAATTTACTACAAAATTTAAATTAAATTTAATTATTGTGATGCAAACATTTCATTATTTTCATAAATAATACAAATTTCCCAGGATTTCAATTATTTACAAATAATTTTCATAAATAATACCATTTTTTACAGGGATTCAATTATTTTCATAAAAAATGAAACTCATCGAAGAATTTCAATTATTTTTAATCCAATTTTTATTAAATTCATCGAAAAATGAAATTATTCTTAAAAATCGTATTCAAATTTATCAAAGAAATTCAACTATTTTAAAAACTTTTGCCGATATTTTCAACACATTTTTAATTAAATTTTATCAAAGAATTAAATTATTTTCAAAAATTTTAATGAAATTCTTTGTAACAATTTTAATTTCTTTGAAAATAATTTTAATAAATTTTGTCAATATTCAATTATATTCAATGTTTACTATTTCAATAAAATTTTACAAAAGAATTCAATTATTTAAAAAGAAATTCTAATAAAATTCGTCTCAAGAATTCAATTATTTTCAAAAATTCTGGTCAAAATTTCAATTATCTTTAGAAATAATATAATTCTTCTTAAAAATTCAATTATTTTGAAAAATTTTAATAAAATTCTTGGAACTTTAATTATTTTAAAAAAAATTTCATTAAATTTCGCGAAAAATTGAAATTATTCTTAAAAATTTTATTAAAATTTGTCAAGAGAATTCAATTATTTAAAAATTTGTTGATTAAATTCTTTATGAAAATTCAATTTTAAGAAACATTCAATTATTTAATAAAATATTTATTTTTGTATTTAAATAATTAAATTCTCGTTGATTTTTCTAATAATTATTAATTTAAAAATGAATTTCAGTTAAAATTTTAGATTATATAATTGAATATTGAAAGAATTCTAGTGTTGATTTGTGGAAATAATTAAATTTTCAAATGGTTTTAAATTAAAATCTTTGAAAATTTGAACTTTTCATACTTTTAATTAAGAATTTTGCCGAATTAATTTTTTTTCAAAAACTTTAATGGAATTTTTTTTAATTATTTCAAATTTTCAGTTTCTCATATATATATATATATATATATTTAATTGAAGACTGTCAAAATAATCGAAATTTCGTAAAACTAAATTGTAAAAAAAAAGAATTGGTAAAATCTCAAAGATTTTTTTCAAAAATTATTTTTAAAAAAAATTGAGAAGAATTTTAGTTGAAAATTTTAGAAATGAATAATCGAGATAAGGAAAAGAAATATTGTAGAAGTTACAGTAACGAAGTGGAAAGATTTAATTATTATATGTTGTTGAATTTAAAATTTTTGAAAATCTTAATTTCTATGAAAAAATAATAATGATTGAATGTTTATTTAATAAAAATAAAGTTCTTTAAAGTCAGGGAAAAAGTCAAAGTTTTCTCTGGAAATCAGGGAATTATTTAATTTGATAAAATATAAATGTATTTTAAAAACCTGGAAAAATTTCGTTTTTTAACCTGGAAAACCTGGAAAAGTCAGGGAATTTGAAAAGAATTTGAAAATCGTGATAACCCTGTCTATAGATGGGGCATTTTAAAGTTTGCAGCAAGCTTGCAAAACATATTTTTTGTTAAAAAAAGAATATATATTACCTGGTTTGTTAGATATTTCAGGTTTCTGTACTGGTACAGCTGCAGGCGTTACTGCAGGTTCAAGAGTTGAAGGTTCAAGAGTTGAAGGTACAGGAGTTGTAGGATCAGGAGTTGAAGGTACAAGAGTTGAAGGTTCAGGAGTTGAAGGTACAGGAGTTGAAGGTTCAGGAGTTGAAGGTACAGGAGTTGAAGGTACAGGAGTTGAAGGTTCAGGAGTTGAAGGTACAGGAGTTGAAGGTACAGGAGTTGAAGGTTCAGGAGTTGAAGGTTCAGGAGTTGATGGTTCCGGAGTTGATGGTTCCGGAGTTGAAGGTTCCGGAGTTGAAGGTATAGGAGTTGTTGGTGAATCTCCACATTCCTTTTTTAATTCGTCCTTCAAATCCTTTCCACAATCACCATCCTTTTTACTCTCACAAACGTAACACTTTAAGCTGAAACCTGTTAATGAATAAAAAATAATAAATCGTTTTTTAAACTTGCCCAAAACAATAATATATTAACTAATTTAGTGTCAACATTTGTGAAGTGAGCCATCAGTTTTCGATGGGCGAGTATTTATTATGGTTTTAACATTTTTCTATACTCAATATGATAAAAAAAAAATACAAGTTGCACAGTTTTAAGAAATTTTAATTTTTTTAATAGTTATTGTTAATAACATTTTTTCGTATAGATTTCGAAATTAATTACTTTCTTCTGTTCTATAAGAGGAATCGAGTTGATTTAAAGCATGAATAACAAGAAATAAAACTTTGTCATTATAAAAAATTTAAAAAATTGTTCGAAATATAAATAATTTATTTGAACAATTAAAAATAAATTTATGTTCTCCCAACATTTTAAAGAATTTTTTTATTGAATATTACTCCTTATTTAATGACGAATATTTAAAAAAAAAGAAAAGTGAGTATTGTTAATTAGGTCAAAAGTTATTCAAGTTTTTCTCTGAGTGATAGAGCCGTACAATGGGGCAAAAACAAGGACCACAAACAAATTTGGAGCTTCAATTTTTAATGAAATTTAATAAACTTTTTTTAAAATTAAAACCTATTAAATTGCGCATCAATTCCTCCAAGCCGATTTTCAATAAATAATATCTAAAATTTGTTATTTGTTAATCAAATTTAAAAAAAATTTCTTTGCAAATCTTTTATATTTTGTTGTTTTCAACTAATGTTTATTTCTTAGAAAGTATATTTAATTAGAAAACTTATTAAAATACTAAAAATTAATAACAATTTCATGCTTTTTAATAACTTTGTAATAACAAATATAAATAAATTAAAAATATATGAATTTTTATGATGAATTGAAGCTTTTCCATGTAATTGAATATAATAAGTTAGCTTTTATTTAATTTTGAAGTAGAATGATTTAAAATCCATAATCTTATTGTTTAAATAATCTTAATCAACAAAAGGATAACTTTGCTAATTTGTCACATAATGTGTTCATTCCTTTTACAAAATATTTCTAGAAGAATCAGCTTAAAGTTTTTGTTTCGTGAAACAACCTAAAAAGATTATTAATTGTTTCATTAATATTACAAGTAAAACGACAATAACTTTTACATTAGGTACATATAAATAAAATTTTTAAATTATTGATAAATAGTTTAATAATGTGCTAATTAAATGCAATTATTATATTATACTGTAAGCTGAATTCTATTGCATTGATTTTATGAAAAAAGAAGATTTTTTCCACGAAAATTAATAATAATAAGAATTTTTATATTTAGAAAAATAATAAATAAATAAATAAAAGTTTCATTCTAAAAGTATTTCACTAAAATCAGATTAAATTAATTTTTGATTTCATGGAAGTAGATTTGCAAAAACTGCTTCAGATTTTCAAAGATTTTAATTTGAATCTTTTTTAAAATTCAATTATTTCTAAAAGTCCCGCTTTAATGCTTTAAATAATCAATTGTAATCTAAAACTTTAACTGAAATTCTTTTTTAAATCAATTTTGACTAGAAAATTCTACGAGAATTCAATTATTTAAATATAAAAATAAATAATTTATTGAATAATTGAATGTTTCTTAAAATTTAAATCTCATAAAGAATTTTATCAAAACCAAATTTTTAAATAATTGAATTTTAGCAATACAATTTTTAAGAATAATTATACATTTTTCGAGAAATTCGATTAAAATTGTATTAAAAATAATTGAAATCCTGTGATTATGAAAATAATTAAATTCCAAAAAAAAATTTATTATTTATGAAAATAATTGAATTATTTGCGAAGAAATTTATAAAAGAAATTTTGTTAATTAAATTCCAGTGAAATACAAGAATTTTATTAAATTTTTTGAAAATAATTGAATTTTAGAGTAGAATTTTATCATTTATAAAGATAATTGAAATTTTTATGAGAATTTTTTTTAATTTTTCTACATAATTGAATTTCTGCAAAGAATTTAATTACTTTTGAAAATAAAATTGAATTTCTTCAATAAGTAACTTCTCTAAAATTAAATTTTTTTTACTGTTTTTAACTGGAATACTTCTATAAATCCATTATTTTTAATCATTAATTCAATATGTATTAAAAAATTTAACTAATTTCAGAAGAATTTGAATTATTAAAATTTTTCAAAAATCTACGTTCTTTAAAATTTCTAATTATATTCATTAAAAATTAAAAATTTTATATTGAAACCTTTTAAATTATTCGTTTGGAAAATATTATTCAAATAAGTAGATATTGAAAATCATTGAATTGAGGAAAATTTTTTTAAATAATTAAAATTTTGACAAGAATTTTACTGAAATTTTTAAAAATAATTGGAATTCCAAGAATTTTATTAAAATTTTTTTAAATAATTGGAATTTAGAGAAGAATTATATTATTAATAAAAATAATTGAAATTTTGACAAGAATTTTTGTAAATTTTTTAACATAATTGAATTTCTGCGAAGAATTATTATTACTTTTGAAAATAATTGAATTCTTGAGACGAATTTTATTAAAATTTCTTTTTAAGTAATTGAATTCTTTTGTGAAATTTTATTGAAATAGTAGAAATTGCATATAATTGAATTTTGACAAAATTTATTAAAATTTTTGGAAATAATTGAAATTTCAGGAATTTTATTAAAATTTTTGAAAATAATTGAAATTTCAAGAATTTTATTAAAATTTTTGAAAATAATTGAAATTTCATGAATTTTATTAAAATTTTTGAAAATAATTAAATTTTAGAGAAGAATTTTATTATTTATAAAGATAATTGAAATATTGCTTATATAATAGAACCGAATAGCTAAATAAAGCCATAAATACCTTAATAACCGTAACTACCATTCACGCTAAAATCCCAAATTTGGTTATCAGAAAAAAGAAAACCTTTATGTACATAACCAGGGGTACGATTTTGTAATTCGAATTTAAATTTCGATTTAATTTTGACAGTGACTTTAACTTTGACTTTCAAAGCGAAAGTGAAAATCAAAGTTAAATAGTCAATGTCAAAGTCGAACTCGAATCGAAAGCCGGAGTAAAATTATAAAATTGCACCCCTCAATTTTTACTTTCCACATCCGCTAAAATTCACTGACATTTTTTTTTCATTAAAAAAAACTTTTCCAAATGCTCACTGTTATTAAAAAAAAATTACAAACACGGATCCTATTAACGAAATCTCATGCGGAAACCAAAAAAAAAAAAGGGAAAAATATCTAAAAAATAAAAAAAAATATAAAAATATCTATCAGAACGTACCTTGCTCAACTAGAACTAGTAAAATAATTGCAAAAAGCATTTTTTTCAAAGGAATGCATTTTTTTGGTGACATGATGAGGTGAACAAAAACCCTTGCACTGTGTTTAATTATATTTCACAAATTGTCGAATCGACTGGGACTTATCAAGATTTTCCTCCACTCGATACTATTTCAAATCAAGATAAGTTTTTGGTTTTATCGTTTTATCGTATGAAATAAGAGAGAGGGAAAAATAAAAATTAAAAAAAAACATTTTTAAAAGCTATCTCAATCCAACCAATCAATATTATCACCTAGGTGAGACTGATTATTGGCAATGCAATAAATATTAGTAATATCGCAAGAGAACTAATAATGAATTCGGAAAATTCAAAAATTTATCCATTTCTTTGAAAATATTGTTGTTTCTTCAAATGAAAGCTAAAATTTTCAAAACTACATAATCAGATAATTATTAAAATTTTCCCTTTTTTTAAATATGTTTATTAATAATACTTTCACTTAAATGAATAATTTATATATAATTATTTATTTAAATTTTAATATTTAGTTTAATAAATATATAACGTAATAGTAAATAATTTTATTAATAAACAAATATAATATTTTATTAATAAATGAATAAAATATATATGTAATTATAATAAATAAACAATTCAACTGTTTAATTTAATAAACAAATAAACAAATAACTTAATTAATAAATTAATAAATTCGCTAATAAATAAATACAATTATCCGAATATAATAAATAAACAATTCAACTGTTTAATTTAATAAACAACTAAACAATTAATTTAATCAATAAATATGTAATTTAATAAACAAGTAAATAAATAATTTTATTATAATAAGTAAATGCGATAATTTAATTATAATGATTAAAGAATTAAACTATTTAATTTAATAAATAAATAAATAAAATTTTTTCCATACATTTTATCTATTGCAGAATTAAATAAAATTTTCAATTAAATTTCTATCAAAATTAAAATAAATTGAGAATTATTGTTTTAATTAGTTAATTACAATGTTTTTATTTTTGTAATTAAATTTGTGAACATTTTTTTTAGAGCAATTAAAGAGAGACGAACAAAATTATTGTTGTGTAAAATTTTGAAATAAAAAATATTCGATAAGATAAACAGTTTAAAAGTCAGTAAGATGATGATAAAATAAGTACTTAAACTTTAAGTTCTTTTTTTTGTACCACCTTCTTTTGATTTTTTTCAATTTAAGCCTTTACAGTATATTTTCCGCTATTACTTTATTTTGATAAAATTTAATACACATTTTTTTACAAATTTGTAATTAAAAATAAAATAAAATTTTTATACAAATATAATTAAAAGTTTATAAATATATAGATAAATAAATAAATAAAAATAAATATTAGGACTGAAATAAAAGCAAAGAAAGTATGTAAATAAGAAAATAAATAAAATAAAGTAAATAAAAAATTAAATGAAAAAATTAAATGAAAAAATTTAATGAAAAAATAAATGAAAAAATAAATGAAAAAAATAAATGAAAAAAATAATTAAATAAATGAAAAAATCAGGAAAAAATAAGTAAAACAAATGAATAAATTTATTAATAATTAAATGAACAAAAAAATTCACAAATGAATAACACAATTAATAATTAAATAATATTTTATAATTAAAAGAACTTAGGTAAATGTAATTTAAAAAAACTTTTATTCAGTGAATTATTATTATTATATAGAATTAGAAGTAGAGAAAAAAAATTTATTTTTCACTGTATTTTGAAAATTTATAAATAAGTTGATTTTTTTCAATGAAAATAATAATAAAGTTGAATTTAAAGCTAAGGTACTGAAGACTTAGCAATGCGTGATGGCATCTACTTCCCACGCAAAAGTCAGTGAATAACAATGACATAAGGATGTGCAGAGTTGGAACCTCCATGCAGGAGCTCGCACGTGTTAGTGTCTGCGTTCTTAAGAGTTCACTGACAGTGTTTACATCCATGTAATTTATGCAAAAATTATTTATTATCATATTTAATAACTATTTAATACACGGCAACTATCATTATAAATTATTATTAATATAATTATTAAAATTTGTATTATTATTATTATTATTATTATTATTATTATTATTATTATTATTTAAAAAAAAATTATTATTATTATTAGCTAAAATAACTCACGCGTGTGGTTTCTGTTTATATGGTACATAAAACATACTTAAAAACACTAAAAAATTGAATTGTGGATAAATTATAAATAATTGTATTTTTTTAAATTTTTAATAAAATTTTTGGCAAAATTTCTATTATTTTTAAAAATTTTCCTCAATTTCATATAAATTCTATTATTAACAAATTTTTTTTATAAATTTCTTTGCAATAATTTAATTATTTTTAATAAATAATAACATTTTTTACAGGGATTAAATTATATTCATAAATAATAAAATTCTTTTTAGGAATTTTATTACTTTCGTAAAAAATGAAACTCATCGCTGAACTTCAATTATTTTTAATACAATTTTCATTAAATTTCTCGAAAAATTAAACTATTCTTAAAAATAGTATTAAAATTTATCAAAGAAATTCAACTGTTTTAAAAACCTTTGCCTACATTTTCAACACATTTTTAATTAAATTCTATCAAAGAATTAAATTATTTCCAAAAGTTTTAATGAAATTCTTTGTAACAATTCAATTTCTTTGAAAATAATTTTAATAAATTTTGTCAACATTCAACTATATTCGATGTCTACTATTTCAGTAAAATTTCTTAAAAGAATTCAATTATTTAAAAATAAATTTTAATAAAATTTGTCTCAAGAAATAAATTATTTTCAAAAGTAATATAATTCTTCGCAGAAATTCAATTATTTTCAAAAATTTACAAAAATTCTGGTCAAAATTTCAATTATCTTTATAAATAATAACATTTTTCTCCGAAATTCAATTATTTTGAAAAATTTTAATAAAATTCTTGGAATTTCAATTATTTTGAAAAACTTTAATAAAATTCTTAAAAATTTCAATTATTTCCAAAATTTTTTTAAAAATTCGTCTCTAGAATTCAATTATTTTCAAAAGTAATATAATTCTTCGCAGAATTCAATTATTTTCAAAAATTTACAAAAATTCTTGTCAAAATTTCAATTATCTTTATAAATAATAACATTTTTCTCCGAAATTCAATTATTTTCAAAAATTTTAATAAAATTCGTTTGTGGAATTCAATTATTTTAAAAATTATATAATTCGTCGCAGAAATTCAATTATTTTCAAAAATTTACAAAAATTCTGGTCAAAATTTCAATTATCTTTATAAATAATAACATTTTTCTCCGAAATTCAATTATTTTCAAAAATTTTAATAAAATTCGTTTGTGGAATTCAATTATTTTAAAAATTATATAATTCGTCGCAGAAATTCAATTATTTTCAAAAATTTACAAAAATTCTGGTCAAAATTTCAATTATCTTTATAAATAATAACATTTTTCTCCGAAATTCAATTAGTTTGAAAAATTTTAATAAAATTCTTGGAATTTCAATTATTTTGAAAAACTTTAATAAAATTCTTAAAAATTTCAATTATTTCCAAAATTTTAATAAAATTCGTCTCAAGAAGACAAGAATTCAATTATTTTCAAAAATAATATAATTCTTCGCTGAAATTCAATTATGTTGAAAAATTTTTAAAAATTCTGATCAAAATTTCAATTATTTTTATAAATAAGATAATTCTTCTCTAAAATTCAATTATTTTGAAAAATTTAAATTCTAATCAAAATTTCAATTATCTTTATAAATAATATAATTTCCCTCCTCTGATATCAAGTTTTTGCAAAATGAAAAATTTTGTTTAACATTTGAAATATTATGTATACTTTTTATTTAAAATAAATATTTTACTAAGACTGCAGTTTTTTTCTTTTTTTGATAACTCGTATCAGGCATGCAATTGATATCTGTAAATCCCCTTCGATTCATTAGGGATAAATTGAAAGAAAATGTAAATATAAATTTTCTGCGTCATCTTTTTACATCCTTAAAGTAATTTCTATTACTGCGGTAAATGCGAAGAAAATTAAAAGAATTAATTTATTCTAATAAATAATTTATTTAATAATTTTATTATCAAGTACATATAGCAATTTTATGAAATTTATAAAACATTTTTTTTAAAATCAATTCACTGCATTTACAAACAATGTTTGTGTTTGTGTTTCTGTTTAAAACATTTTTGTTATAAAAAAAGTGTAAAATTTTGTAAAATGATTTTTTAAATGTTTTTTAGAATTAAATGTTTAAATTAATCATACAAAATTCGAAAACACGGGTTTTTTTAAAAATAGTATCAAATTGATAATATAAAATTTGTCTCCTCGTTACAATTTGATACTTTTGAGTTAAAAGTGAAAAAAATTTTTTTTAAATTTAGTTAAAGTTTATAATTTTTGAAATAATTAATATAATAAAAATGTGAGTATAATAATTATTTTCGTAGTATATAAAATATAAATAGAAGTAGACAATTTATCTTTTCTTTTTGATACTAAAATTAATTATATCGAGAGTAATAATTAAATAATTGAAAAAGATAAATAATTTTTTTTTTTAACTGCGGAAAAATATATTTTAGCACATACGTATATAAATTATTATTATTATTAATTATTATAATTACATTATTATTATTGTATACGCGAAAAATTAAATTTAAATTTATGATGATGTAAAATCTGCTACACTCGTGTGCTACGTTTTACTACCATGATAATTGTAAAAAAAAATTTAAAGATCATTACCACATTATAAAGTTTTTTTTTTCTCCTAACTTTTACATATATTTCAAACCGCATATACACTGTACAAATCGGCTGAGAAAAAAGAAACGAGCGCGCTTTTATGTACACATTAATTGAGTAAATAATTTTTCTAATCTAATCGACGACAAATTTTTTTGTGAAAAAATTTTCTTAAATTCTTTCTTTTAATTAGAATTTTCATTGGAATACTTGCAAATAATGAAATTTTTTTACGAGAATAATGTTTTTATATTACTAATTTATGTTTATAAAAATATTATTTACCGTCCAAGTTTTTGAAGAAGAGCTTTTGAGTTTGCAATTAGTAAATTTTATGAACTTGAAGGGAATTTTTTTTTTTTTTTTGGTAAAAGAAATTA